CTGGTCGATTCTGGAAACACGAAGACCTCTCTGACATAATGTCAGCTGTGATAATACTACACAACATGACCATCGAAGACGAGATTGGAAGCCCTTTTGAAGGGGACTTCACTTACCATCAAACACCTCAAACCCAAGCCGAAATCACTAGGAATGAACGCAGCAATCAATCATTTGAAGAATTCATGTTGCGGTACCAGGCGATAAGGGATCGCGAATCACATACCTGTTTGCAGCAAGATCTTATCGATCATCTCTGGAATAAGCATGGATCTGAAGAGGAAACAGGCCCAACCGACTAGTTTCTTTTTGTCATCGTTTTCTCTCTGTTCTCTCTGTTTCCTCACATTTGTTATACTATTTCTCTTTTTTTTCACTGTTTTCCCTTTGTTTCTTGTCACTCGTTTTTTTTATATTTGAATCGATTGGAATTGAATCTTATTAAATCATGATACAAAGACCGATTTGGTCATTGAATGGAGAGAACAATCCTCTGATTTGGAGTGAGAGCTCAATTGGATCCGATGTATTTCTTGAGAAAAAGAAAAAAAAAACCTCATCGATTGAACCAGATTTGGTTTTTAATATAAGAAAGAAAAGAAATCGATCGATTAAAAAACCTTCATCGATTGAACAAGATTTTGTATTTAATATAAGAAAGAAATTGAAACAAAGAGAGAAGCAATTGATTGACAATTCAACAATTGATCAATACAGAAAGTAGAAAGGACTAATTATCAAGCCTCAACTTCTTCCTCTCCAGTGACATCTTCTTCTTCTTCGGTTATTTCTTCTTCAACATCGTCTTCGTCCTCTTGCTCTTCTTCAGTCTCTTCTTCTTTGTCTTCATCCTCCTCAGCTCTCTCGCGTTCATGCCTCTCTTTCTCTTCCTTCTCCTTTCTCTCCTTCTCTTCCCTCTCCTTTCTCTCCTTCTTTTCTTTCTCCTTTTTCTCCTTCTCTTCCTTTTCTTTTTTCTCTCTTTCTTCCTTCTCTTTTTCTTCTTGTAAATCGCGAGCAATTATAGCTCTTTTCTTTTTTTGATAATAAGCTCGGGTCTCGTCGTCCAAATTGGTCAGGTCCTTTGACATTATCGCGTCATCCAAAGTCGATTGAGTTGCTGATTTCATCGAGGACAATCGGTCACGTGAGATCTGAACGAGGTCTTTTTGCAACGCCACCATCTTTTCGATCGACGACTCTTCGGCTCGCTTACGTTTGGCTGCCTTATTTCCTTCAAGACGCACGCTCCCCAGGACCGATCGGCTAAGATCAGACTCGTCCTCGTCTAAATCAATGACCGCTGGGCTTGAGGTCCTTGGGGTTGAACTCGGAAGGTTGGTAGGGGTTTGGGATGTACCGGGTTCTTTGGCCTTCTTGGATCGACCCGCGTTCTCTTGTTGATTAGCCTGCCATTTTGGGGCGTCCTTCAGAATGCCCCAGCAATGGTCAAGGTTGAAGGTCGATCCAACTGTTGTTTTGTACAGCTCTTTTGCCTCGGTAAGCTAATTTGAACCAGAAGCAATAGATGGAATTAAGACATGTATGTGTAGCAATAAAGGAAAAAGAAAAAAACACCTACAATATCAGCGCGTGTCTTTCCACTTTGCAAACGACGTTCGACCGTTGAATAGCAGCCAGATAATTTGTTGAGGGCCTTCAATATGAGTCCCCAACGACATTCAACCCCACCGACTAGTCGTAGAGGGAGCTCCTTGAAACCAGCCGAGTTCTTCTTGTCCGTGTTGTATTCCTTGACGAGGTCGATGTAATTTTCGTGGATTTGTTCCCAAAACGTTGTGGCCTTCTGTCCTCGCCCAACAATGGCGTCTCGACTGGTATTTAACCACGCAACACACAGTTTTTTATCCTCTTCGATCGTCCAATTTGGGCTTTTCTTTTTGGTTGTAGTATCCTCATCAGGCTTTGGTGTGATTTCTTGTGTTGGTTTTGGTGTGGTCTCTTGCACTGCTTTCGTGTGCGTTATTTTCGAGATTCTTTTTTTTTTTTT